TGTTTCCAAATATTCCATGTGCCTTTTGAGAAACACACTATTTCTCTCTGTGTATTTTCCCCCAGAATCTATAACATGGTCAAATGGATATAATGTCTACTTTATAATCTCAGGCTTTCTGCTCTTTTTTTCAGGTGGGCATACCACTGAAATCCTGAGACTTCTTGGGAACTTGTCTAATGCTTACTCTCCAAGACACTATGTGTTTGCTGACACTGATGAAATGAGTGCTCATAAAATAAGATCATTTGAACTGGATCGAGCTGAAAAATATGCCAGTACCATGGTAAGTCTTCATTTCTATTTCTAGTAAAATTGTAGCAGATGCTTTCTGTTTCATTGTTTCTGCAAATAATATATTGACAATTATGTGCCCACCCCACCCTATAAAATGTATAGAGGAAGACTATAGATGAGATGGATTGATACAGTAGCTGGAGTAATGAGTGTAGGTGTGTCAGAGACAGTGAGATGGGCTCACAGTAGAGAAGGGTTCAGAACTCTCATGCATAGGGTTGCTATGAGTTATAGTCAACTTGACAGCACATAACAACAATAACAACCAAAAGATAGGAATTTCCTTAAAAACTAAACTTGCAAATAAAAGACGATTACTTATTTGCTTACAGGATTCTTTTTCTTTTTTTAAGTAGAGGAAATAATTTTTTTATTTCATTCCAATTGTGAAAGTTCTTACCTATAGTTATTGAGTGTCCAGTTTATGTGCTTCCTGACCCTTTGTCAGTGTATTTGAATTTTTTTGTGTATTTGTTACTGTATAGCTCTTTGTCATGTATTACATTTATCAATAATTTGATTCCTGTAGTCTTTACCCTCTAAATCACATTTGTATCTGCTTTTAAATTTACATTCCTACACATGTAATTTTAACATTTCAGTCAAAATTTTAGATTGAACAAAAGTGGAACTACTGCTTTATTTTTTTAATTTTTTTTATTTTATTTTATTATTTTTGTGTGTGTGTACCGTCAAATCAGATCTGACTGGTACAGGAGGAGATGGCCCCTCCTTCCCCAGCAGAGCATCTGGTGGATTCGAACCGTGCACCTCTGGGATTGTAGTTGCAGTTTCTTGCCACTAGGCCACCAGAGCTCCCCTTACTGCTTTATTTTTAACCATGCAGTTTCCTTGTTCT